TCTATATTAGCCTATATACTAGTCTCCGTATTAGTCTATATACTGGTCTCTGTATTAGTTTATATTCTCTAGAATTGATTATAAGTAGGCTGTGGCCTAAAGAATTTTAAATATAATTTATAATCTCTATAGTAGTACCTATACGCCCTTTTATCCTAAGATAACTATATATAGTATATAGATTAGACTATATACTATAGCTAACTATAGAATAGGATATATAAAGAAATATATATTAGCCCTTTATATAAGGAAATACATATTAGCCCTTTAAAATTAATAGGTAGCTATATAGAATAAAGAATATACTCCTAATCTAAAATATATACTATTAAGAATAGAAAAAAATAAAAGAAGTTTAATTTCGAAAGGCATATACTTAATAGGATTAAGATACCTTCTTAGCCTTACTAGGCCTCCCTCTTCTTTTAGGTACTATTTTTAAATTATATTATAGGATTAGATATCTCTTAATTCCCCTAATAGTCTTTTATTAGTATTTAGGTTAAAGGATTCGGTTATATAGGTATTATAATTCACTACAATACGCCTAGTATACCTATATTACTAGCTATACTATAATATAGAGTCCTAGTCCTAGATATATATAATTAAATACTGATTTTCCTTTAATTCTAGCCTCTTTATTAATAAAATATAGAGATCCTTAATAAATTATAATTAATCTTAATTATTTATAGTAGTTAGGGGTACTAAATATTATTTAAATATATATATACTAGTATAATTAAATATATATTTCTATATAGAGACCAGCCTATCTATAAAGTATCACTAAATCGGCCTAATTTTTTTTTTTTTCTAGAAATAATAAGTGGCTAGCTATATTAAAAATTATTTTATAAATAAAAACTAAAATTTCAAGGCCACTAGGATATAAAAGGCTGTTATTCAATTAGGAAACTAAAATAACTATATACTATTCTACTTAGTAAACAGGCTTCTAGGCGCTAAGATACATACTCTAGATAAATTCGGGCTAAGGCGGGCCATTCTCAGGCTTTAGGCCTAGGAGCTATAAATATACAAATTTATCTATAAATGTTAAAAATAAAGCTATTCCGAGGTTACCTTACTAATACATCTAATTAATTTATTTGCTTAATTAGTCTGATCAATTGGTTTTATCTAAAATTTAATTATAGGTTTATGCGGTATTTCGCTAGGCTGCAGAGTTTTCATACTAACAATCTGTAGGCTTTAGTCCCAACTCCTTCATATAATTATACTACAACTAGTAATAAATTAAGGTTACATTTAATTAATTAGATACTCTCTACTATCTAGCATTTAAATACTGTTTTTAGAATTAAATTATCTTAATTATTAGTGGTAGTTAAATTAATCAGACAAATTTGCATTTATATATAGTATTTATATACAGATAGGATGAATTTACATTTATATACAGATGGGATAAATTTGTATTTATATACAGATGGGATGAATTGGTAAGGTGATCTAGGAATAGCTTTATTTTTAACATTTATAGACAAATCGGTATATTACGGGAAGACCAGATAAATTAGTAAGGTGATCTAGGAATGGCTTTATTTTTAACGTTTATAGACAAATCGGTATATTATAGGAAGACTAGATAAATTAGTAAGGTAATCTAGGAATGGCTTTATTTTTGATATTTATAGACAAATCGGCATATTATAGGAAGACTAGATAAATTGGTAAGGTAATCTAGGAATGGCTTTATTTTTAACGTTTATAGACGAATCGGCATATTACAGGAAGACTAGATGAATTAGTAAGGTAATCTAGGAATGGCTTCATTTTTAACGTTTATAGACAAATCGGCATATTACGGGAAGACCAGATAAATTAGTGAGGTGATCTAGGAATAGCTTTATTTTTAACGTTTATAGATAAATCGGCATATTACAGGAAGACTAGATGAATTAGTAAGGTGATCTAGGAATGGCTTCATTTTTAACATTTATAGACGAATCGGCATATTACAGGAAGACCAGATAAATTAGTAAGGTGATCTAGGAATAGCTTCATTTTTGACGTTTATAGATAAATTAGTATGTTTTTTATTAGAATATAACCAGACTAAAACAGCAATAAAAAACTGTAATTTATTAATCTTATATAATCTGACTTATAAGCGCTAAGACCTCTATATTATACAAATTCGGGCTAAACGGGCTATTCACAGGCTTTTAGGCCCAACCCGCGCGGGCTTCGGGCCGGGCCGGGCCTAGGGAGGTTAGGCCCGAAGCCCATACAGGTCGGGCCACAGGCCCAAATTTCGGGCTCGGGTCAGGCTTTAGAGAAGTCTAGTTATGAACCAGCAATATCTTTCGACTGGAATTATACAGGACTGATATATAACAAATAAGAAGCGGCTAATCGACTCTCGAAGTTATAATAAATCTAGGAAGATATATATAAATAAATTGCGAAGTTATAGGAACTATAAATACAGTAGGCCAACTGTTATTATTATAAAGAGGACTTCGACGTTAGCGACCTAGTCTTTATTACTACGAAAGATTGGCTATAGGACTGTCCGAGTCGAAAACTCTCCTATATAACTAGTAGACCCTATAAGATTATCGAAAAGGTTAGGAATATATATAAGTTAGAACTACTACAGTCAATTAACATCTACCTAGTGTTTAACCTAAGTAAGCTGCGGAAGGCAGTGAGTATAGAACCACTCGTAGGATAATATACAGATCCGCTACCTCTGATATAGGTAGGATAGACTGATAAGTAGGAAGTTGAAAAGATCCTAGATATAAGAAAGTATTATAGGAAGCTGCAGTACTGTATACAGTGGTTAGGATACAACCTAGATCCTATATAGTACCCGGCCGGCAACTTTAAGAATACTCCGGAGATGATTAAGGAATTCTACAATGCCTATCTAGCAAAGCCCGGACCGCCGATACATCTATAAGAATAGATCGAGGCCGCGCGGGATGATCGAATATTAGACGACCATGTGGATGACAAGAAGCCAGCATTTAGGGACTAAATGTATTCTCGCCCAGGGGTTATATCACGATTGGCACGTATAGAACTCGTACCTTCCCGTTTGGGATCGTACCGTTGGTCGTTTGCGCAGGCAATCGTACCTTCCTTCATGGCTAAGCGAGGATAGGGCTTTGCCCCCGAAGGGGTATAAGGACCCGTTTGTTGTTTTACGTTTTGTTTTCTTTTCCTTTCTTCTTCATACTTGATATTTGATTAGCAATGCACTTCTTTTGTTGAAGAGAACCTGGCACGTAACAGGTATCAGCCTTCTTAGTACTAGGGTCCTGATACTTATAGTCAAAGAGTCGCTCTGAGTACTACCATCGCTAGTACTACTATCGCCAGTACTACTATCACCAGTACTACTACCGCCAGTACCATCGGTACTACCGGTAGGACTATAGGGACTATTATTATTATTATTACTCTAGTCGTTACTCTTACTATCTTAATGGTTTAGCGGGTTTATAAAGGGACTGTATCGCTGCGCGTGAGGACCAGCCTCTGAATAATCTATAGGGCGGTGTATATAGTAGAATTTCCTTCCCTATTGTTACCTAAAGTAGGTATTATGGCTAGTAATACCTTTAAGTTAGTCATAGAACTAGCCTACTAAGGTATAGTCACCTCTACAGCCAGGCTTAAGCGCGAAACGCAGTCGATACCATTACCTCGAAATCACCAGGCGTATAATCGCATTCTTACCCGCCACGATTCTACTATATTCCCTTCGGCCTATTATTAGCAGCTCGAAGCACCTAGTATAGAAGGTCCGGAAATATCGATACATAGCGGATGGGTTATCGTATACCATACCATATATCAATTCACATCGCTATTGCCGGTAACAACTAGGCAGATACCCCAGTTAACTTTGTTCCATTTAAGCATTGGGTTCGGCGGTCTATTACCAGAAAGAAGGGCAAGCCTAAGCTCTCTAGATAAGACTTCAGGCAGACGTTGTCCTGTTTCTAGGCGGAGTTGGTAGGCGGCTGGCTTCTAACCTGGGTTGGGGTCTCGTACTAGGCCTATATATGTTTAGCATATGTTAGGAAGATGTAAGGTTTTTGACTTACCATAGGCGTATCCCCATACTAGATGAGGGTTATGTAACTAAAAATTTACTGCCAGTTTTTCTGCCTATATTACAAAACATTACCAATATATTACTAGCGCCTTGGCGTGAAACAATTGAAAATATATTTTTAATTTTCATGAAAATTAAAAATATGTTTTCAATTCAAGATTTTGAAATTCAATTTAACAGCCCTACTGTACATACTACAATGTACATACCAGATAGCGGATCCAAAATACGGGTCCCCGGCCCGCGGCGGCCCTTGTGGGTCCCGCGTTACAATCGGCCCTCAGGGGCGGAGACTGAAATTGACTGGTGAGATGCAACATCCAAAAAGACGATTGATTTGCTTCCTAGCAAGACAGAGGTGCATCTGCATGTATCGTGTATGTTCCAATTATCTCGCAACTTACTCAGTTTAAGGGGTGGAGAGGAGGTCATATCGCGTGGATATATATATTTGGATGTCGTAGAAAAAGTTCGCAGATAGCTAAGATGGCTAAAACGTCTTGGCATCCAACTTAAAAGGTGTATGGTCCTCTGTTAGTTACTTTGGGTGGTAAAGGACCCTCGTCGATGCAGTCAGACTCAACCTAAGGCTCTCATAACTAACAAATCCGACGCCAGAGGTTACAAAATACCCGGGGAGCCTTGCAGTCAAATGAGTCTTTGAGACAGCAGAATAGATGATATGTCTAATTAGGACTAAAATCTACAACATAGTGCTCTGGTCTGGGTGCTTCTTTATCGCAATGTCGTAATTTGAAACGCGAAAGTTGTCATCGCCAAGGCCCTGTCGCCCCTTCAATGGCAACAGTTTCCAAAATGTTGTACTTACCTTTTCCAAACCTTTCAAATTGAATTTTCATAGCCACTTGGTGGCTTTCTTTTATTTCGATAAACCATGCGTATAGAGAATCATGACAGGGAGAACGAGAACGCCCCGCTGTTGGAGCCCAGCTTCACTCCGTCACCTGTCCAGAAACCGCGCCTTGCGACTTTTCTCTTATCCTTATGTATCTCCTTCTTGTCGGGAGGAAGTGCCATGATTCAAGTTCCATTGACCCAGCTGATGGAAGACAACTTGTGCGACTGATATTTGAGTGAAACCGGGCGGCAGGGTCCCTTCACTAACAGAGCAATTTGCAAGGACGATGGGATTCAATCTAAGCTTGCATATCTGAACGCTTTACTCGGAGTGATAGAGTCCGTGACCAGTATGTCAATCATAATGACTGGTCCCTCGACAGAAAGTCCCAGTGAGCTCACGTGTCATAATAGGTCTCATTGTTGCATTCCCATACAGTGCGCTGGCTGATAGGTGAGTTCCATAAAATATCTCGAGAAGACAGCGATTGGATCGTTAAATAATTATAGGCTTGGTCGCAAACCGATTATCTATCTATCAACCACGGGATCCGTGCTTTATGTTGCTTGGGTTCTGGCTATTCTGAAATTCCCCAATCTCTTGCCGATAGAATACATCCTCTTGGGCCCACTTCTCACGGTTGTTGGCGGTGGAAGCACTGTTATTAACGCCTGCATCTATTCCCTGGCTTCGGATCTGGTACCTGACACAGATATGTACGTTGCGTTTGATAGAAAGTAGTCTGAAGTACACTGACATTCATCAATCTAGAACAATATCTTATTTCATGATGGCCTTTGGAAGTTTGGCTGGGGCTTCGGTTGGCCCGGCGATATCTTCCAAACTGATAGAGCAATATTCACCCTGGTTCCCTACGCTGGCAGGCTCTTTGATTGTTCCCGCCAGTATGGGCTTGTTGGTTGTGCTCCCCGAGACGATCACACCGAGAGATCAGTCTTCTGGGAGAGCAGCCTCATTGGGGAAGCTTTCACCTCGCGCGCTCAAGACATTCTTTAACCAGTCCTGGGCCGATCTCAAAACATCATGCCAGAGTATTCGCTCCTTCTCAATTCTTCTGATTTTGATCACCAATCTCAGAGTATATCCCGAGAGTGTGGCATATGGATCCTTGCTCGTGCAATATGTGAGCAAGCGATTTGACTGGACTTTCGCAGACGCTGGCTATCTCCTCGCAGCTCGTGGGATTGGCCAGATGCTCATTTTACTTGTCTTATTCCCTGGGATATCAAAGCTACTTTCAAAATACTTGCGGCCAGCTGTCAAGGACCTGATTCTTGGACGCGCCTCGGCTTGCTTGGTGATTTTTGGGAGTCTTCTTACGGGGGCTCCGCGCATTGGCCTTGTGATTTTCGGATTAATACTTCAAACATCAGGCGCGGGCTTGAATGCGATATGTCGATCAATAGCTATGAGCTACATGGGAGCACATGATAAGTCGAAGATGAATGCGATGATTGGGATCTTTGAAACATTCGGGTCTATGTTTGCCGGGTCGACATTGGCATGGCTTTTTTCGCAGGGTATGAAGCTCAGAGGGATTTGGTTTGGGCTCCCATACTATGGCTTGGCCGCATTTTCTGAGCTCTGTCTGGCTGGATTATTCTTTCTAGGGCCTTCCCAGCATCAAGACCTCAATGATATAGATGAACCCCAGCCTTCAACTGCATCTGATCTGGATTAAGACCTCCCTACTACCTAGTTTGACAGAAGCAATTGATAGCACGGTGTTTGGGGATATTTGTTCTCATCCTTGAGTATTTATTGATCAATTTAATTTCCACTATGTTATCTGTCCTTCGGTGTCCCCGAAGATACTCCGTACACGATGGGATAGCGCCTTTATCCTATGTAAATCCAAGTCTCCTGGTCATGGATCGGCAATATTAACCAACGATGGTTATGCCCCGGTGGCATACTTAGTCGCCCGTAAATGAGACAGCGAACTCCATTCTATAGCTTTCCGCGGTTCAAGAATCGCACAGGGAGATCAACATGCCTAGCCCGCAGATATTCCGCCACATTCTTTCCCAGGAAATCGACGGTGGTGGTCACACCAACGCCCCGGTCCAGTAGGTTGCGAAACAGGAAATGCACGGCATGAAGACGAGGTAGCTCGAAGCGCTCAATCTCCAAGTTCGTGTTCTCGCGGGCAGTCTCTCCTAACAGCTCTTGCACCTTATCAACAGACAGCAACGCCTGCAGCCATTCGTATTCGTCACTGTGACGCACCCAGAAGCCGCAGTTAGCGTCGGTACCCTTATCTCCAGAGCGTGCATGAACGATCCAGCCTAGCGGGCCGCGACTCGTCGGCCCAAAGTCTCGGGCAAGGTCGACGGGTCTGTCGGTGTGCGCGATCGGCTGCGAGGGTTGGCGTGATGGATATATCCTAGTGTTTGCCGGAGGCGAAATATCGAGGGTCTGCGCAGATGCCGTCGGCTTCCAGGGCATATGAACGCGGTGTTGGACTGCTGATTGTGGCAGCAAGGTGACATAGTACTCGAAAATGGCACGTGGGAATCCCTGACGCATATCTAAGTGAAAGGTAGCACCAGGATAGCCCTGCATGATGTTATCGGTGATATGTTTGAGGAAGCGTGTCGGTGCAAGGTCCTCTGCATGTCGTGCCTGTGCGACGATGCGCAACGGCACGGTAGCGCGGTTCTGGTTGGGTGGGTCGGAGAGGGAAGAGCCCAGTAAATCGAAATTGAGTGACGTATATCTGTTCGAATAGGGTGACAATAATTGGCGGACTTGTGCCTCCAGCATGCGAGCTTTGGCTTCGATATCCAGACCGGTTAGAAACCACCATACCTCTGCCTGGAACCCTCCTCGCGCAGTGATGCCAACCTTGGTGGTGGGCGGAGGAGGGCCGCAATGGACCCCATGAACAGCGACACGATTGACGCCGCACTGCGAAAAGCGTATACCATCGAGGACCGCAGTGACATCAGAGTTGTAGTACCAAGGTCCTTGTATCTCATAGAGCAATTGGGATGTGCAAGTATCGACGGTTACCGCACCACCGGTGGCATGCGCCTGCTTGGTGATCACAACGTCACCTTCGGCAGATATCTCGGCGATGGGATATCCGATATTGGTCCAGCCATTCCCGTCTGCGTATTCTAGGGCTTTGAAGCCTGTGAAATTGCCACCGCAGACATAATTGCTACACTCAATCAGATGGCCTGCCACGAACGCATTCGCCAGTTTGTCAAGCTCGTCACGCTGCCAGCCATGATACCAGTAAGCAGCTCCGATGACAGGTGAAGCATCCGAGACCCGCCCACATAATACAATGTCCGCACCACCTGTGAGCGCAGCCGCGATTCCGAGGCCGCCAAGATAGCACTGGGCATATATTGGCTCGAATGGCCAATCTGCCAATCGATCGCCTGTGTAGACGTTGCGAAATTCAGACCCGGAAGCCAATTCCTTCTGGACGGTAGATAGTACTTCATCTCCGGAAACCCATGCAACCTGCACACCCAAATCAGCAATTGTTGGTCAATTTTGGGTAAGGCGCTGACTGACCTTCAAGTCCAGATTCTTTGCCTCAACCATACGCAGCACCACCTCGTAGAGACCCTTCGTGTCAGTCACTCCAGCATTGACCGCGAGCTTTATTCCATACTTGGCCAGATCATCCAGAGCCGGCTCAAGTGCTTCTAGGAAGGAGGGCTCGTAGGCCGGGGCTGTTGGTACTCGGGAAGTCATCTGGTCCACACGCCGACCGGCAGCAGTGGCCATGTTGAACTCGCTCATGAAATCAGCAATGATGACATCGATAGGATCGGTCGGGTGGTGACGTGCAAAATCAGCAATAGCTTGCCGCCGGTCTGAGGCAGAGCCCGAGGCACCTAACAGGTTAGCTGGAGTACATCATGAGTGCAAGTAAACTAACCTGCAATGCGAACGGGTCGACCCTTGTATGCCATTGTGCGTTAACCAGTATTGTCTTGTTTCCTTGAACACAGAGGTAGAATAATATATGATGCAATAGAGGATTGAGCTTATGTTTTCTTCCTCGCGTCGCTTGTGTTGCACCGAGGTGGTTGTGTCCCTCGGCTGGGAATGCGGGGTTGATAGAATAAATGACAAAGAAATCTATGTCGTCTCTGGTGTTTGACGAAGTTGTTTGACGAAGTAAGGGGGAAATCTGAGTCATATTCTGCCCCCCAAAAGTGATCTCGTTCGGTCATTGGCTTATTGAAGCCTCTGGGTCTGAGTGGTAGGGACAAGAGCCCAAGTCCCATGCGATATAAGCTAATTACCGTGTTGAGACTAGCGTGTTGGTATACTTCATCTCATCTCCAAAGGTCACAACTTCAAGTACTGCCTCTTGTTGATTGATTATGATTTATTGTATCGTCTGACATTTGAGAACCATATTTTGAGGATATCATTGAAGGATTGAAGGCAACAACGCTGATGGTAACGCTCGAGTGATTCTTGATAACTCCATACATGCATAAAGGAAACATCCATGGCGGCAAATCGCAAATTATTTACGACGCCTCGAGTTGGTCGGCATTTCTTCAAAGGCGTCATCGTCATCGTCATCGTCATCAATACCATCGCTGATGACACTCATGTTACGGGTGGAGCGGCTAGGTCGTGATGACTGAGGTGCGCTGGCCTGGGAAGCGGAGAAGTTGAGCGTAGACTGAGCTGTCTTACCACGCGCAGGGGCTCGCCGAGAAGCAGTCCCGCCAACGGTAACCGATGACGGAGCTGGCGAGGCAGCAGCATGTCCACCGCGACGCTGGGTCGTAGTTTTCGCAGGGGCAGCTTTCCGTGGCTTCGCGGTAGTAGTAGATCGAGGCTGCTTAACGAACAGTGCCTGCGAATCATCATCATCATCATCGGAAATGACATCGGCTATAACATCGTCGTCATCATCATCCAGCATAATCACGTCTGATTCTTCGTCTGAGACGGCTTGCTTTCTGCGACCCTTCGTGGTCGTTTTTTCTGGAATAACTTTGGCCTTGGTGGTTCGCGCACTGGCCGCTGCACCTCGACCACGACCCCTACCACGACCCCGAGTAGAAGCCGCGGCACGACCACGAGCGGGCACTGTCCCATCTTCTCCAGCCTCTTCCTCTGCTGGATCCCCACCTTCGTTGTCAGAATGAATAAGTGCACCAGGCTGATCTTCCCACACGCCATCAAACTCGGAATCCCAACCATCTGGCTTGGGCTTGAAGCGCTTCTTTCCGCGAGTTCGCTTCTTCACGCCCTTTGAAAACATGCTTTCCATCTGACTGCGATATTTCTCCATAGCAGTCACTAGCGAGCTTTGTTCTCTCTCCTCGTCATCCATATCGTCCTCCTCACGATCTAAGGCCAACAGGTGTTTGACCTGGCTCTCGAGGGATTCATTGACGAACATCTCCATTGCATGCTTATCATCCTTGTCAATGAATTGGGCAACAGCATCTCCGAAAGAATTCTGCGGCAGGATACTTAATGACTGTGATGAGAGGAACTCGCGCACTAGCTGTTCGACTTGCACAGTGTCAAGAGCTGACAGATGAGAAACGGTAGATTCATCAACGGATTTATCATCCTTGCGCGAAGTAGAAGCAGCTTTTTTCTTGCGGTAGAATTGCACCACATCGTTCACGTTAGCGACCTTACCAATGAAGCGGTTGGAGAATCGCTGTGGGTTTTCACAATCGTAGCTACCTCCTTCAGGCGTAGAAGTTTCCACGCGGAGGCGAACGAGAGGAAGCGGAGCTTCCGGTGTGCCATCCTCATCCTCAACGATGCGATCCCCTTGCATCTCCAGCCATTCTGCATTGGCTTCTTCAATCAGCTCTTCGACAATGGACATTAGGAACCGAGTTACTTCTGTGCGGTTGTTCTCCTTGCGCGCAAGCTTTTGGGCTCCTTTTTCTTCGGATAATATAATTTCCCGCATCACAAATGGTCGCACCGTCTTCAATCGGATAGGTTCGTTTTTAAATTCTCGGCCCGTTATGCTCAAAATCGAGACTTGCTTTGGAACAGCCTCCCCTGGTACCAAGGATGTTGCGACAGAGGATCCTGGTTGCATAACATGAAATTTAGTCTCTGGATTGAGCCTAGGATCAATCAGGCATTCGTGTTCGTGCCCCCAGACGACCAAATCAAGAAATTCGGGAAGAAAGTTCTCTGGTAGGTAACTAGTTTCTGTATGGGCATGATGGTTCTGATGCACAGACATCAAATTGAACCAGTCACTTTTCTGCACAGACGGTTGGAAGAATTTAACCTTGCCATCGCGAAAGGTACGGAACAGTCGCTCGTCTCGAACGTTACTCATTCCGTACAGCGCAAGCTTTGTCCGGCCTTTCTGTAGCAAGACAGGCTTGATTTGGATGTTATCTGACTCCGGAGTCCGGCCGTAGTAGTTGAGAAGGCCGGACACTTGCAGTAAATCTAGTGCGGCCAGATGACCCTCTCCCGAGGGGTCGTCGTGATTCCCGTGGATGGAGAAGATAGGAATCGCCACGTTGATATCCAGGTCCTCGTAGTTGACATGATTGAACGCCCCCTGGAAATTCTCACTTGCATCGCTGAGCATCTCCAGCTCACACGGCTTGTCTCCGAAACAGTTCATGCGAATCGACCGCATGACCTGGTACATGGATTTTCGCGACGGCTTATTCTCATGGAACAAGTCTCCAGCCAGGAGAACCATATCAACGTCCCGTTCCTTGGCCAAACACATTATTTCGTGGAAGCTCTTCCAGCTGTCGTCCCCACGGATGGGATCTCGCTCGTTGTAACCGACATGATTATCGGTGGAGATGAGAATTCGAATAGTTTCAGCCTCTGTACGGAGATCAGTAAGCTGAATATAGATTCAGTATCGAGAATGTCTTACCATTTGCTCCAGGCATCTTAAGTCGACCGAATTCACGTGTCTCACCCAGCTCTGGCGTTTATGTGGGGTACTGGGGTTCGTGCGGCACCAGAAGGAAATAACTCGAAAAGATACGGTGGATCAATGAGCTATTCCAGGGGAATCATATCAACTTCACAACCAAGTTGTACTGAGAGAGTTGATGATACCTGAGGGCTCGCTGGTTTGGCTTCTGTCGCGTCGTCACGTGCTGAGCGCGTCTTGGGTAGTGGCCATTCAGTATAAATATTCCTGAGAAGGTAAAGGGAAAATATGTGAAAGTTTTTTTATAAAGATTATGACAATAATTAATAAGATAGTATTACAATCAAAGTAGAATAATAGCTTTTCTTCTCCATCTCGCATAGCTCAAGTAATATCCAAAGTCGAACAGAGCCGCATATCGCATACCGACGCTTTTATTGCCAGCAGAAAATTGGATAATTTGCGACTGATATCAAAAGACACCGGAAAGGACACTAGAAGAGACACAACAAACACAATCAAAAGCCATTCATTGGAAATGACATTAGAAAATTCATTCAAACAGATCTTGAACTAATTTGACATTTAGATTATCCACGTCCTATACCGCCAACAGAGGTCATATAAGCAGCTGACTATTCTACTTCTATATAAATGACAAATCCACTACAAATAAGCTCTGACTACGGAGTAATTGACTACTACTAGTTAGTTATCCATCTAACTAGTTATAGAAAATCTCCTCAGTCAGACACAACATAACAATTGAAGTATAGGAATTACTCGGAAAAAGGCGGAGAAGAAGGCGGTGAAGTGTAAAAGCCAATAGGACGTTGCGGTCGCTACGCATCTGCATAATGTGCGGCGGGATGGCCACTTCGCCTCGCCTTCGGCATCTTTGCTTCTCTCCCATCCTTTCTCTTCAACATCGCTTCGCTTTCATATAACTCCTTTTCGTCCCGCATTTCCTAACTCGACTGACCCAGGCTTTCTCGCTGGCTCGGTCGCTACCACTTCACCTTTCCGTCAAGACCTTTTTATGCAACCAGAGCCTACTGCCGTGTCTCAACATACGCCTCCCGTTGACTCATACCCAGTCATTATTAGTCCCACCCAGCATGGACATGACCTCGATGAAGCTCAACCTCAAGTCTCTGATTTCCTCGAGCGAGAGGAGATCAGAGACTATACGGACGTCCCGAGCATGTCGACACAAGACGCGTCCTTGAAAGAGGCCGACGGTCGCCATGCCCCGCCCTCGGCCGATCGAGTGAGCCAGCATGAAAATGCTCGCATTCCACCCGGACAAGCAGAAAATGCTGGATCTTGCTTAGTGGCTTCTATTGAACAATCGCAAACATCTTTAGAAACATTTCCAAATGGTGGGTGTCCTGCAAACCTGCTGCGCAATTATTACTGATAACCGTAATCTCCACAGAGGTTCTCACCCATATTCTCTCGCATCTACCACCCCAATCCTTGTCCGCCATCACATTGGTGTCCCGTCGATTTCATGCGCTGGTGACCACTCCTCACGCTTGGAGGATCGCCTTCTCGCGATTCTTCCCCGGACCCCATGCCGTTGAGGATGGTCAGCGTAATACCGATGCGGTAGACCTACAGTCGGACAGGCGATTATTCGCAAGGCTAACCGCGCTAGCCTCCTGGCGAAGCGAATACATCTTGCGTACTCGCTTGATGCACTCGTTAGCCAGAGGCAAACCGGCGCAGTTCAACCCGTCCAAGAAGCATGGAACTGTACACACGGCGAGTGCTCGCCATGGTAGTGCCATAGCTACGTATACATCGCAGCTACTCTTTCCGATCAGTCATATACATGCCTCTTTCAGGCCGGACAACAACCCCCTCTTCGTCCATGGAGCCGCAGAGCAAGGGATTGCGTCAGCTAGTGACCCATCGACCGTAAAAGTCGGCACCTGGGGTGTCACCGACCACCAAATGTTCCGCCACTTTGCCGATCTGTTTCCTGGTGAAGCGCAATACGGCCTCGGATCGGGTGATATGGTCGGTGTGCCTAACTCGATGGACGTCAGTCAACCATATGGCATGATCTATGGTGAGGGCTGTCCCCAGGGGCGTAGCTATTTCATCTCAAAAACGGAGCAGCATGGTCGTTTCGTGGGAGCTTCGAATTTGGGTTCTCACCCACCACTCGGCATACCTGCCGTGAACATGATCACACATGCCGTCTGTTCAGTGTGGATTGCCAAATCCCCTCAGATCCTCAAGATGACTCAGGGGCTGGTGGGGATGGTGTCTGGATCGTCTTCAGGCGTGTTGACCGCTTATTCTATAGGCCCTCATCCAACTTACGAAAGACGATATGACCCAGGTCAAGTGACTGCTAGATGGGTCCTGTGCCCTGGTGTTCCTATCATTTCCATTGCAGTGGACGATCACTATTCAGCCCAGCGCCATTCAGGAAAACGAATTTGGGCTGTTGCTCTCAATGCCCTAGGGGAAATATTCTACCTCACAGAACTTCCTCGAGCACCTGAGATCCCACTCACAGCCAAACTCAACGTCGAGCAGCTTGACGAGGTGGCTTGGAAGACTGGTAGAAGTGTGCATTGGGAGATGGTTGAAGCAAGCAGACGTGTGGCACGCCCAGACCCCTTCAATCCTGAGTTGGTCGATGGAAGCTACAGTCCGCGATCATCGTCGGATTCCATGGGTCTCAATGAGCACCAGGTTGCCGCTGAAACGAAGGAGATTGAAAATTTCTTTTCTTTGAAACCCAAACACTTCCGCAAGGTCTGCGAAAGCTGGGATATGCAACGCGATCTTAAGGTGGACTTTGCTGGCGATGACGGGTGCGGGGCAGGCGAGTCAATCATTATCATCGCTACCGGCTCGGGCGATGATACAAAAGCGTCGATCCGGCGGTTCATGCGCACTGCTCCTAGGCCTGTCATTGGCTCATCGGCCATGCCAGGACCCCTATCGGGTACAGTGGAAGCTCCACCGTCACTTTTCGGAGGCCCAGTGGACATATCAAGCCCGACTACCACCAGCAGTTTTCCATCCTCTCGGTCCTCAGGGCTTACGGGATCGCCTTCGACCAACTTCACGTGGCGTCTGTCGGATTTTGTTTTTGATGATCGCAAGTCTACGGAGGTGAGCAGTAGTGCGTTGGATACGTCCGCTTTCGCGACTCTCACAGCCGAAGAGGATCCTCTTCTGGCCATGTCTAGGAGCTCTATTTCGTCTGCCACATCCTCCCCAATGCTACCACATATGGATCTGCCGCGGTCGGGCCTAGAAATTCCCGGCCAACGCGCTCGATACCTAGCTGTTGGAACTCGCACTGGGATGGTTTTTGTTTGGGATATCCGAGCCCCGGCGGCCAAGTCTGGGGAGATAATCAACTCCATCTCCACATTGCGCACAATCCAAACCGACTCCCCCCAGGTATCTTCCTTGGCCATCACATCGTTGTACCTTGTTCATGGCGGTAATGATGGCCTCGTGCAAGCCTGGGATCCATTAGCATCGTCTACCAAGCCAATCCGAACGATCAACTCGCGTTTTTCAACACGAGCCCGCCGTCGGCTTGTGCAGGCTGAGTCGTCTTTCTTAGGTGTTGGAAACAATTACTATGCCGCAGGCGCTATCTGCCTTGATACAGACCCAACTGTTCTGCGTGGAATGGTCTCACTTGGCACCCACTTGCGATACTGGTCTTACAGCTCTTCCGAGGCTGATCAATACAAAAGCAGCAAGCGACGCCTTCGCCACTTAATGCGTGGAAGCAACGGGGCTGGCGAAGGCCAGCGCTTCAACAACAGTGGTCGGGGTGCAATCGAGGACTTTATCCACGACGAACGCGTGGATATGGAGCGTCAAAGGATTGCCGACGAGAAAGAACGAGCACATCTGAGTGCGCGTTTCGGAATTGATCTTCTTGGTCCGGATATCGACGAGGAACAGCTTTTGTTGTATGCCCAACTTCTGAGCGAGGAAGCCTGCTCTGGCGATGCGGCGAAACCTAGAGACAGCGCCGCGGTCTCCAGCTCGGCCACGAGCGCTTCATTCGACACTGCTGGTCCTAGTTCATTTGGCCCTGGCGGGATTTCATCCTCTTCGTCTCCTTATCAAGATCCCGCGGACGATGATGTTGACGATGAACTTGCCGAAGCAATTCGCCTTAGCCTGCTTGATGAGCAACAAACATCGTCTATCCCTATCAAGTATGCCAAGGGAGTACGCCCACCTCGACAGCCATCCCCTGGAGCAGAGGAGCCGGAGAGCAGTAGACAGCAAGAGATGGATGATTTAGAGTTTGCGATTCAGCTCAGCTTGGCTGAGGGCAAGAGTCGCGAGGATGGTGAGAAGGAGTGGGAAGAATTCCCATCCCTCACACAAGGGCCAACGCCTGTCTCATCGTCATCCAAGGACAAAGGGAAAGCGAGGGCCATTTAGAATCAATCTTGAGTTATGTTGCATTTAATTTCAATTTTTGTGTTTTGTGTTATTGCTTAATATTTTCAAGTCTTGCATTTGTATCAATCGAGATATTCCGACTCATGTTATGGTACTGACCAAGCCGAGTTTTAAGGTAAGTAGTCTTAGCCAGTGAAACCCTCCTGTCTCTTTTCTATAGAAGAAAACCTAGTGAAGCGCAAAATGACGAGGCACGCTGCAAACTCATTCCTTAATTTGCCAGCAACGATCCAAACGGAATTGCCAAGATCCTGAAGCGAGCCTTGAGGAGCAGGGCTGAAGGCTTCGATCAATGGGCGGCTATTAGAGCTACGATATATGACGACCCTTCTTCTAAGCTGTGATGTTGATAAAATGTGGGATAAATAACAATGTTAATGACAACTGCACTAGCAGAAAGTGGAAGGATTTTTTGCTATGATGCATTTTGTCTCTAACTCCTTCCCAATGTACATGCGATGGCTTGTTGCTGAAAGTTTGAAGACACGAAAGAAAAAGCAAAGACACGAATCATTCCGAAGGAATCATGTAAAAAATAACAACTGAATCACAAGAAAGCTGGGCAAAGAATAAAATAGGATAAGCCATACAGAAAATAGATCCTCGAGACCGATAGCAGCCTCTTGGTCATGTCGTCTGAACTGTGAAACCCAAGAATGAAATAATTACAAATCATCAAGGCAATTACAGAAGGGATGCAAGCAGTATGAAGAAGCCTCCTGCACCACCGAGGGCAAGTGAGGGAGCGCCATTAGGAGAGGCGCCATTGGTGGCGGTGGAAGTACCGGAGCTAGAGGAAGAATCGGAGGTACTGGAAGCCGAGGAAGAAGATGGGGTGTTGGCACCGCTCTTCACCTCAAACTTGACATTGGTAATCTCTTTGCCGGTGTAGTCATACACCTTCTGGGGAATGGTGGTGGCGGAGACCGAAACCAACTTGCCAACGGGGGCATCGGGCAGGCCGTTCTTAATGTAGTCCGAGACCTTGGAAGGGACCTCGGGCAAATCCCAGGCGTTGTAAAAGGACTTGCGCTGGATAAGTGAGGTACTGCACGTCTCGGCCTTAACACTGGTTTGTGTGGCGTTGCTTGACATGATGCGGTCAATATCCAGCTTGTTGAGCTGTTTCTGGAAGTTGTCATAGTCGATAAGAGTGGTCACGGTCTTGGAGTCGTTGATCTTGACCAGGCCGTACAGATTGCTCTCCTGGGTCCATTCATAAACGAGACCACCAGAGAAAGCCTGGGTCATCTCCACGCCGTAGAGGGCCTGGACTTCGGTGAAGATACGGGGCTTGACATCGTTACAGCCGTACTCGGAGAAGAAAACGGGGATAGTGGCGTTGGTGAAGTCCTCGGTTAGGACATCGAAGCCGCTGGTCTTGTAGGAGGAGTCACCGCACCAAGAGTAGGAGTTGAGGCCGAAGAAGTCGGCACGGGAAGAGGTCGAATTCTTGAGATCACACTCGAAGTAGTGAATAGTGTCCATCAAGATGTTACGAATATCGGCAGCGGAGTATCCAACGGGGATGGCGCGCTTAGAGTTCTTGGCGATGTAGTCCTTCATATCACGAACGATGGCACGGACATACTTGGGAGCCATGTAAGTGGCATCCTCATTAATCACCTCGTTGCCAGCGAAGAAGCCCAGGACGTTGTCGTAGTTCTTGAAGCCCTCGATAACACCGAATACCTGCTTGTAGTAGATGGCACTGTAGGTGGTCCAAGGGGCACTGCGGTCTAGATAACCACCGGGCAGGGGGTTGCTGACATCGAGAATCATGTAGATACCGGCAGCGTTGAAGATGGACGCGCACTTGTCGTGGTTGAGAGAGGGTTCCAGGTTGTACACACGGATGGTGTTGACCTATGGAGATAAGTTGCTGTCCGGCAAGGAAGACGGGGTCCAGACTTACACCCAGGCGCTGCATGAGGGCAGCATCGCGCAGGCAGACATCTGCATCGCTCAGAGGATCAAGCTTCGTAGTGAAACCAGATTCACCACCGGGCTGGTAACTATTGAGGGGTCAGCCACTGTAGAATGTGCGGGGTAAGAAACAGGCAAGAAAAAGGCAAGGAAGTCTTACTCAACACCGATAATCTGGAAACGATCCTTGGTCTTGGAGTCAACAAAGTCCTTGCCGCTGACTTCGAGTGGATTCAAAGCAGCCGCGGCGCTAGCGAGCGCACACACGGATGCGAAGAGACGAGTGTAAGACTAAGTAAGAAGTCAGCTTTTGGTCATAATAGAGTTGCGACAGGTACATACGATCATTGTGAAATCAAGTGGGTATAGAAAATCAATAAAATAGAGAGGGAATGACTTGAGGCGGGGGATATACGAGATGATATGTGATAACGAGGGACAGCGCAACGGCGCGAAATGGGGAAGGAACGACTGAAATCAAAGGAAAGAGGAAGAAAGGGAATCAAAGGAGTTAAATGGCTTTTGAGGTAATTTTAATCTACTCTGTAGAGCTACCCAATTGATCGTCAGTGTCAATTTTGTGGAGAATCGCAGTCCCTGAACAAATAATAGGGGTCTTGGGGGGTCTTGGAGGGTCTTGGGAGAGCCTTGGAGGTTTCACATCTTCGTTTCACTATATCCAGTATATTGCTGTGCAGTCCTCTATGATAGTAGTAGCATACTATTAATTACATTCATGTATTCCAAGCGATTAAATGTCCATTTCTATTTTCTTTCCCGTTTCCCTTCCTTTTCCTCCGAAGACGAATTGGTGGGCCAAGTCTGGCCAAGAATCCCACTCAGGGCCAAGATGTCCTTTAATAGTGATTGCTTGGACCACCTCTGGGCAATCTGGGCTGTATTGAAATGCCAAACTCAGGGGTATGGGCACGGAAATAAGTCTCGATGCTGTAATTTATAAAGTTAGTGGTGAGATTATGCCCAAATGTGGTTAATTAATCCGCAGTTATTTAACTAGTTAGTTAGTTAGTTGGTTGGTTAGTTAGTTAGTTAGTTAGTTAGGGCTTGGAAATAGTGGCCTTGTCTTTCAGGTGTCCGATGCCACCTGCCTAAATTGGAATATCTACTTCATACATAACCTCTTATTCACTCTTCCTTTAGATACTACTCTCACTCTATGTATCCTCTCCCACTATGACCGTTTCCAACTGGAACAATTCAAAGTTAAAAAGTCTTGGAATCAACGTATGTCTTGGCAATAGATAGCGGACAGAAAGCCCCCTTGGCTCCGGACCTCCTATCCAACCAGTCTCTCTCTGACCTCTACTCTGTACTACTCGTACTCATCCATTCGCTTAGCTTCCTCTTCTTCTTCCTGCTTCTAATTCACATCCACATATCAACTGGGGACTAGAAATTGCACAAGATGTCAATACTTACCTGTGGAAATTCCTCGTCTTACATAGCCGCTGTGGTGTGCACAAAATGGAAGAACCATAAAATATCTTCTTATTTTTTAATATACGCAATACTCACGGCCATATTACTGTAAGCTTATCTTTCTATGATTGATGTTGGAAGGTTTTGTGAGGTTGTTACGGAGTAATTCTAACAATTGACCAGTCTATAGATGTCTTCCTTAAAGAAAATAAAAATAGATATACTTCAGAGGGAAGAAGCCAAAAGAAAGAGGTAGCTTTAGATTGGTGGTATCTCTTCTGCTCCATCCAATTGGAATGTTTGGCAATGGATCGCCATCAATCCGTCCAACTTACATAGTAGCCTTCATCCACACCTCTTTGTCCGCTTCCCCCACGGATGTTGGGCAACGAACGTACTAGTTCTCCGCGATATAAATTATGTCATACAAATTTGAGAATTCCATCTGTCTAAAATACAAGTTGTTGAGGGGTCAGGTCCAGTTGTCTATTCGATGTTGTCGTCGGTGCCAGTCTTGGGGCCAGCAGATTGACCACCATCAAGTGCGATAAGCTCGGCGAGAATTTCGAGGGTTTCCCTGGGAACGGTCTTGTCGTAAATTCCGATCAAGTCCTGAGTAATTACAGTAGTTAGAATGATGAAGAAGACGATGAATGCAATATGTGACATCGGCAATGGCTTGTACTTACCTGAGGCTGGGGGTAGACCTTCAATGCTTTCCAGAAGGCAATAGCTGCTTCGACTTGGGAGCCTGGATATGTAGTTAGCGACCTGTTGATTCCGGTTGCGACTTGTAATCGATATCTCCATCCCATCATTCGGGATCGAGATAGAATGAGAAAATGGATTCGATTTACCTTCCGAAGCACAAAGAGATTCGCCCAATGCGACTTGGCTCATAAAGAAGCTTTCTTTCTCTTCGAGATCTGTTGGAAGTTCACCGTTCCTCTTCACTTGTTCGAGCGCATTCTTGAGCTCTGCGGCCCTGGCTGCGGCGCCGGCCTCGGCTTCCTGTTTCGCGGTTTGTGCGACCTTCTTGTTGTTCTTCTTCAGCGATTTGCGGAAGTTCGGATCGCTTTGACGCTTGTAATCGAAATAAACGGCGTAGGCTGGTACAAAGGGTTAATAATTGAAAAACGCGGCGAGACGAATGCTACATACCGAGAACTCCCGTCAGAAGTGTGCCGGCGACGATGGCGGTGTTTCGGAAAGCCATAGCGAAGATGTGGGATGATATCTAATTAAACGTATCGGATTTTCTCAGCCTGGCAATGTATGGGACTTTGAGAGGCGATAGTGGTTGAGTGGTAGTTGGGTGATAAAAATGTTTCAAGGATGTCCAGATGTCCGGAGCCCATGGATTATATAATCATACCCACAGCCCGAGCGTCATCCCCTTGACCTCCCGAGACGACTCCATTCCTTGATTATTGCTGCATTGCTAAGTGAAATCACCATGGAAGGCCGAGGATTGACTCTGAGGAGCAAGACTCGTCGGCAGCGCCCTCAGATCAGTGCTCCTAAGCCCATATCCGGTCCTCTACCTCCCAATACCAGGTCTCCCGATGCAGGCCCATCCGCAATCCCCACACGTGAGCGGGCACCTCAGAACG